AATGTGAATTCGGTTAGGCCAGTGATCCACAAGGAAAGGAAACTCCAGCTGAGCACTGTCCTTGAGATCAGGCCCAGGACCCCATGTGCCCTGAGCCAGCCATGGCCGAGAAGACAGCCGCAGCCCCAGGACCAGTGTGATGTCACTCATTGCAGAGCAGGAGGAAGAGGCCTGGCTGCCAGCATGTCACATGGGGCCTCGTGAATTGACTCCTGAGGGGTATTTCTGCCCAAAGCCTCAGCAACCTGGCCCCTTTAATATAACTTACCAGAATGTCAGCAGCATTCAAATAAATCAGCCTGTGTTCTAGCAAGTGCCTCCTCGTGAGCACCAGCTGTGGGCACACAGTGGGGGGCCCTAGAAGTAGAGCCCCGCAGAGGACACAGTGACTCAGACCAGTGCAAGAAAGTGGGTAGTGCAGAGTCTTCCAAACACGTCTTGACCCAAAAACCACATGGCTGGGGGATGGGGAGTACAAGGCAAACCTACAGATTCTCAGGACATTGCCAGCACACAGATTGACCAGGGCCCTAGAGATTCAGATTCTGTAGATCTGATACAAGACCTGGAACCATATGTTTAATAAATGCCACAGTATCTCTTGGTCAGGCAAGTTGGGAAACAGTAGAGTCAGAACCCTGCTGCAGTTCAGATTGGGTCTCTACCATGTAATTGCTGGATAGCCTTAGACAAGTTAGTTAACTTGTCTGAGCTTTTAATTCCTCATCCATAAAATGTAACTAGCAATAATACCCACTTTAGAGGGCTGCTGTGAAGGTAAAATGGGAACATCCATAAAATGTGCTTAATACCTTAAAATGCCTGGTGCATTTTAGGTGCCCGGTAAATGTGAAATATAAGCACTCACACACATTTTTTGACTTTTCCATCAGCCAGCCCCTTCACAGGCAGCAGAACAGTCCAGGGCATAGCATCAGTGTGACCAGACAGTGAACTTGAGCTTAAGCTTTACTGACAGGCAGGTTGGAAGGAGACAAGGACTTTAAACTGAATACTCTTCAGTGATGGTGATCATAGTTTGACAGGAGGGCAGAGAAGAGTGGCAAAGGTGAGTCTGGAAAGTGCTTTAGAGGTTGGAATCTAAAAATCTGAGCAGAGAAACTTCTGGACTATGCTCAAGGATAAATGGACTTCAAAAAGACAGGAAAAGTAGTCAAGCAAACTTGAGATTTTCAAGGAGAGACACAATTTGCTAAGAATAACGTATTTTTATTTGATTCCCTTTTAGCCCAGAAGCCAAAGTTTAAAACATTTGTAATTCATCCTTACCTGCCTCATTCATTTTGTGAACTTTATTATTTTAGTAGGTGCCAGGCCCTGTGCTCCTAACTGAAGCTAAAAAGAAAGCAATACCTGCCTCAAGAAACTCACTGTGTACCACAGGGCACAGGCAAATAGCGGCACCCAGGGCTGAGGGGTGGAGGGCAGCAACACTGCCCCAAGGGGAAAGCAAAACCTCTCCTCTCAGAGGCCATCTTTCCCATCCCAGCTTTATTAAGATAAAATTGACATAAAACCTCATGTAAGTTTAAGGTACAACTGAATATTTTGATATACGCATATATTGCCAAGATTACCACAATCGGAGAAAGTCTCGAAATAGAGATTACATGACAGTTACATCATCACTGTTGTGATTATGACCATAAACTAATAGTGACAACAGCTGACGTGAGCCAGTGCTTATTTATGGCCAATGTCAAGCGAGACCTTTACATTCATTATCTCCTGTCATTGGGTAAACTGGTCACCATATGCAGTACCTCAGTTTACTTACTTGGGTTTGCACTGTGTGTTCAGGGCTGGTCCTAAATGCCATGCTGCGCCATTGGTAAATGATGATACTTGGCACTGATTCTCCCATTCTAGCTCCGTAACTGATAGAGTTGAGAATTCACTTACAAGAACTGGAATTGACTGCATTTAGCTTCAAGCTAAATCTCTGACACAAAGTGGATTTCTATCCCCTGCCCTCAGAGCCCCACTGCCTACTTACAGCCCACACAGGAGGACCTAAATAGTGCGGGCCTTGCTGGGCTGAGGGCAGCACCCTGTCTTCACATGTGCAAAGTCCTGAGCTTATGAAGTCTAATGTAAAAAGCACCATCAAGTTCTCCACAGGAAGCAATGTGCCCTTGCCTTCAGGCTAACAGCAACACAGTGACAGTGACAGTAACAATGAGGAGAGTATCTGGCATTTACTAAGCTGTTCTTACATTGCACATTTAGCGTATCCCATATCCTAGGTGATTTAACCTTGTGTGTGTGTAGTTGCTATTACTGTCCCCATTTTACAGACAGAGACACCAAGGTCTAGATCCATGCTGTCGCTGTTGGGAGGTCGGGTCCAGGCCAGGCAGAAGTAGGAATGGTTGGCTCACAGTTAGTTCTCGTCTCAGGGCCTCCCCTGGGCAGGCAGGATCAGGGATGCCAGGGCCTGCAAGACAGAGGTTCTTCAGTGTTGGCAGGATCAAAAACCATCCCCAGTGTGCCCCTGACTTTGCCCCTGACTCCACACAGCCTGGTTCAGCTGTGCCCACTCCCAACAGACTGCTGCTCTTGCCAGGTCCAGCTGTCTCACCTCACACCCTCGTGCGACCCTTCCCTTGGCTCCATCTGCCCTTTCCCTTCCCCTTCATTGCCTATTCATCTCAAGTTCAGCACCTGTCACAAGGAGTCACCTTCCCTAAGAAACTTGTCCAGAGCTCTGAAGGGCCACTCCTTCCTTTAGAGATTCCTGCCCAGGAGACCCTGGGCTCCTGAGAGGCTATAGCAAGTTCACTTTATAAAGCCAGCATGTAAAGCCCTTACATAAATACATTGCAGGAGTCATTCTCTGCTTTTGGTCACTATTTGTTTGTCTTTCCTTCACTGCTCAGAGCTTCTAGGCCTTAGAGACAGCTCTGACGCGCACTGAAACCGACAGACACCTCGCTTTGCCAGGATGGTGCGGTGGTGTTTGTTGTGCTTTCCTTCTGGAAACAGCACCTTCCTGGGGCTGGCATCCATCTGTGGGCCTTCCTTGAGGATGCCATTTGTTCCTTTTATATCTTGATTCATCACATACTGTGGAGGGTGTTAGCTGAGTAAGGCTTTTTGCCTTATGAAAACATTACCAAATACTGACACCATCAAGAGGAAAGCACCAGATGTCTGTCTGCAAAGAAAGCACAAACCTGGTTTGTGGAGAGTCGGAGGTGGCCAGGGCTCCCCCAGCATTTCCAGGCCGGAGGCTTGGTCTACGTGCCCCCTCGGGGCCTCATAACTGAGCCCCACACTCCATTCTGCAGAAATTTGTCAACTTTCCTGCTGACCTGAACCTAGAAATTGGTGTCCATTTGTTTTCCCTATTTCAAGTTGAAAACTGAGACAGACTTGCTGGGTAATTTTGACCAAAATAGCACATATCATTGTGTCCCATCCCCTGACTGACTTAACTTTCCTCTTCCTTTGAGCTGTTGAACTTCCTCAAGGAGTTGTCAGTGAAACAGGTCATTCACAGTTGGAAATTATATAAACTTGCTGACCTTGACCAAAAATAATGTTTTAGTGCCCAAATCAGAGCAAAGGGCAATAAAACAAAGTATTCTCTGATTTGTGGCAAAGAACTGGGGGTGGGCACAGGTTCTAGATAATGGTGATAATAAAGACAGGATACCAAGGCAGTGTGTAGACTTGAGGGGATTTTTGTAACATGCAATTTTCCTTTCCAGTCACATTAAAACCAATGGTTAATACATTCTCTTCTCTAGGAAAATGCTTTTTGTCATTCTTTATTGTTCTCAGAAATAAAGGAGTTTCTACAGATGAAGTTACATTAAAATTTAGAGAATAAAAAGAAAGACTTTGAGAACTAAGTCCTATAGAGTTTAAAATATTAATTCACTAAAACCTAAATTCACTTAAAAAAATTTTCTCACTGATGTGCCCAGGCTGAAAAAAACTCCGAGGAGTCAGAATTCTGCAGCGTTCAGTGAGATCTTAACTTCATCTGTTGGGTTCAGTTTCACCAAGACCTTTCAGCACCTTGCCACTGGGTGGGTTAGCTGGGGGTTAGCTGGGGGTTAGCTGGGGGTTAGCTGGGTGGGAGGAGCACATCCAACAGCAGACCAGCCAGCTGGACTAGATTTCCTACGGTTCAGGGAGACAGGAGGGGTCAGCTCACTGCCCAGCACACCTTCATTTTCTACCTCTTCTTTTTCCATATCAGAGAAAGATTTCTTAGCATTGTTACTGCGGGTTTCTACTGAGGACCCAAAGCATCTGCTTTGATGTAATGCTTAGTGTTTGGGCTGGGGCCACACTGCCTCTCTAAGAATAATGCAGACATATGTGGTCTAATGTGGAGAAACCCCCTTCCCCTCCGAACCCAGATAGCAGTTGCATACTCTTGTATCAGAGATACTTGCAAAACAACCCAGTTCAGCAGTGCAGTGACAGTAACATTGATCAATTTCCATTTGTCCTGTTTTTTAATGCAACATAACACCAGTCAATAAAGTTATAAGCACTTTTATAATGGATGACTCATTGCCCATCTCCCAACCCAAAGTTCTGTGTCCCTCTTATCCAGCTTTTCACTTCCCCTCATTCCTTCCCTGCTCCCAGGACTGCTCACATGTTTATTTCTAAGAGTAATATTTTTGACTGAACTGTTTTTAATACTGGTTTTAAAAAAGAATGTATGTTCCTCCTGTTTTCACAAGCAAGACTTCTGGACTCAAATGATAGAAGAAGGCATTTTTTTCATCGTCCTGACTATGTCTTGGCATGAGACCAGGAGCTTCCGTGTGCTCTTATATGTGTGGATTCTTTTCAGACGATAGATGCAATTTTAAGAAGAGAGAAAGAAAAGGGAGAGAATTATCATGAGGTTGGACCAGGTCACATTTTGTCACTTGAAAGCGAGATCATAACAGGGTCATATCAGACTGTTGTTTACAGGGAAAACTAATGGTTTTCTTCTCTTTCTGTTCCAGCCACAGCAGGTACCCTTGGCAGAGCATCCCAGAGTCTGCAAAGAGTTAATCCAGGCGTAGGAACAAGTAAGAATTTTAGTCCTTTTTCTACCTTCAGAATACTGTCCATGCTGTACTATAATCCAAGCTACTGTCCTTTGTTTTATTTGGGTGAATAACTGAAAAGGCACAAGCAAGCAAAAAAATTTTTTTCTGGGATGCTTTTTCAACTTCTCTGCAAGCCTGCTTCTTTTGTTTCTCTGATTTGCTTATCCTAAAAGGTTATGTAAAATCAAATTAATGAGAAGAAAAGAGGATGAAATAATTTATTGTGGACCAACAATTAGGTTGAATTTAAGAACCTGCCTCTTTTTACAAATCCTATATTATGTTATCATTATGATTTTCAGATATATCTTTACCTAATGATCACATCGACAGTTAAACTCATGCCTTCAACCAAATTGCCCTGTGCTCCAAAACCCTGCCTTCCATGCAAGCTCTCTCTTCTCCTTAAACTGCCTTTGCACATCCCCTCTTGTCCTCTGACAGCCTCCTCCTTCATCCCCAAGACTGAGTTCAAACAGCAGCTCTGTGGGGAGGTTTCTCCAAATCCTCTAGGCCTGAAGAATTGTTTTGCCTCTGTGCTTCCTCAGGACTTTGCCCGTTATTCCATGATGGCATTTACCTCGCTACATTTTAGCATATATGTTAGTGCCATGAACGAACTCAGTGAGTTGTGAGGGCTGCCTAAATTAATTAATTATGTTGAGTTTTAAGGCAAAGCTATTTTTTATGCTTCTTCTAAACCCTCACATGACCTAAAAAAAATCCTGATCACATAGTGGATACCTTTAATTAAATTCTAGGGATGGATTTTTTTCATCCGTTGGAGTGTATGCTAGAGTCCACATTACAGAAACCAAGGAAGAGAGAACAGTGCACCTGAGTTTAAGCTCTTGCTGTTTCATTGGTAATTCTGGTGTCATTAAACCATAATTTGGATTCTATAACTAAATCACAGAATAAGTTTCTAATAGGAGATGTAAACATCATTTCCTTGGAGGTGACGCAAAGAGGGGGGATTGGTGCTGTTTTTGACAAATGTCGTCCACTTGTCAGTTGTGCCAGACAACAAAGTCTTTACGACCCTCCTGTTTCAGAAGCATCATACAGGTTAGTGTGCTCTCTGATTAATGTGAGGGGTTGTAAAAGGGGTGGCTGTTTGGTTATGTTTGGTTTCTCCCAGCCAGTATATCCCAAAGCCTTCACTCAAGAGATAATGTGACTTATTGTTAGTTTCCGTAAGGAAATGAAAAGCAATCAGTTAAGAATGTTCTACTAATGGTGCATGCTCCATCCCACCCTGGAACCCCCACACACACATGCAAACATCATACACTGCCCTTCGCTTTCCCCCAAAGTGTTAGCAGGATTTCCCCAAGCCATTTTCTTTGTCAAGGCACGGGGTCTAAAGATCTAAGCCTTGGACCTTGCTGAACTACAACCTCTGGGTAAGGCGGATGTGTTAATGAAATTCCTGCCAGTCATTGGGCCTCTGTTGATTTTCTGTCTTTGCCATAGCAAGAGCACAAGTGAATTGTCCTTCATCTGTGGTATATCACACAGACACTGACCTACCCCCACAAAGAAAAATCCTATCCTTCCAGCTTCTCCTTACCAAAAGTTACCTGCACTCTGTCCCAGAACTGATTGGGTAATGTCACACAAGTCAACAGACATGTCTGTATCCATGGGCACCTTCCACAATGTGCACGCTTTGACACGTGACCACCTTTATGATCTGAGTATCTCGTTGATCTGCAGCAGGCCCTAGCACTCACAGCCTCACTTGTCACTGAGTACACTGTCACCGTGTCACACATGTTTGACTCCCTGCTGTGCACCCAGCACTAACTCTGCTGGCGAAGAAAGAAATGAGCAAGGCATTGTCCTGATGTTAGGGAGCTCATATTTTCCCTACGGAGACAATTTCACAGCAAGAGCTAGTGTTCAACATAAAATGTCCCGTCAATATGAATTATAACTTATGCATTTCCTACGTTCACTTTTCTAAACTCTCAGATTCAAAGCAAAACCCATTGGGAGGAAAAAACAATCCTATCACAGCAAATCCTAGACAGAACTGACCAAACGTAAATGCACACCACCTCCCTCCTGCAGGCTACCTTTGCCTTACACTTGGGCTCTTGGAATAATCCCTTAGCAACTGCCTCCCTCCTCTCTCCTTACACCCTCTACCCCTTCTCTTCTTCCTTTCAGCCATCTTCCTCTGCCAGTCACAGCTTTAAGGACCCAACATACCGCTTTGCTCTAAATAACCTGAACTCTCTTGGGTGCCCTCCCTGCTGCCTACATCTTAAACAGCAAACCAAGATGCTGACATCCACCCTCCATCGTCTCTCCCCAGCTTGTGAGTTTAGGCTGCTTACTCCTGCACAGGAACACTGTGCTCCCCATCCTCTGCAGCTTGGCTCATCTCGTCCCACCTTCCAGAACTACCCTCATCCTCCTCACCCTGCATTCAGCAAATATAAATCCTCGTCATTCTTTAAGGTTCAGCCAAAATACTTTGACCCTTGGCCTGAAGCAGTTCCTCCCTTCCCCACGCTTGTCTTTGAGAGAGGTCATGCTATTTCATACCATTCTTAAGGGATATATTAAAGGCTGCTGTGGAGTACAGTTCTTTGCGTATTTCTCTTAGCTCCCTGTCTGGATTATGAACAGTCTTGTTCAGAGCTGTGTAACTCACAGTGCCTAAAATAGTACCCTAAACACAGTAAGTAATAAATGATATTGCAAATAAATTAATTCCCCTTAACAGTTCCCTGATTAACTACCCTTCTCCGACGTAGCAGTTCCCACCAGCCCCCTAGTTTTTGTGGAGCCCCTGGGCTGGTGGGGGCCATTCGCTGAGAGGCAGACCTCCCCGCTGTGTCATTCACACATTAATCACCTTACGTCTTCCTGCCATTGCTGAAAGACTCATAGGAATCAAATGGTTTATATCCAGAAGACAGACTCCTTACGGGCAAAGGACACAGTACGGCATCAGTAGAAAGGGGCATGTATTGAACGTGTGCATGCACACTTGTACACTTGGAGTGCCCAGGTACTAGCCTCTTTGTCCTCCCACTGCTCAGTCACATGAGGCACACTTTGTCTCTAGGTCTGGAACCACTACCTATGTGCCTGTCGAGCCCCTCACTGCCAGCAAGCCCGAAGTCTGCCCCTGATAGGGTTTCCCGTAGTGAGCAGGTCATGCAGGCACATTCTCGCTATGTGGACAGCTTTAACCAGCAGCCCCCAGGCTCCACTGAATTTACGTGCAAATCATAAATCTAATTGTATTGCTAAGTAGCACTGACAGGCTGATATATCCTGCAGTGAATCAACTCAAGGACCCGTGACTGTAGCGTGTTAATTATATTTAGTTAACACAGTTAACTAAATTATATTTAGTAAATACAGTCCAAACATCGCATGACCAAGCATAAGCAACTGGAGAAAGGCATGTGGTCAAACCAGACCAGCTAAGATTAACCCATGCAACACAACACCCAAAGAATTATCCTTTGCTCTAACCTTCTCTTTCTTCTCTTGCTTACCAAAAAGTATCCCATTTTCTAAGCACTCAGAGCTCTGCTCTCCGCATGATGAAAGGGCTTAATCCGTGTGAATGGGTATTTGTATGTTAATGGGCACAAACCACCATGTCTTCCACAGAGTAGATTCATAAGAAGTATTTTCTGGAAGAAAAGGGCTATTTTTGGAAGTCTCATGAGGACTTTTCAGCCCACACATGGGTAGCAGCCCACTTCAACTATGCAAAGGCATAAATAGGAACAAGAACACACATTCCGGATAAGAAGGAAATTGAGGGGGAATCCCAGTTTAAAGAGATATGCAGACATCTTGTTATACTTTAAAGAAAGAATGGTACAAAGTACCCCAATAAAAAGCTGCTTTTTGTCTCTGGGCAGAGTGATGAGGATGGTTAGAATCTTCTAGAAAAAAGTAAAACATTTTTAGTAGTCCTGAAGAAGGCAGATTCCTTGGTTAGGGTGCTTTGGTTCCATGCTCTGTGTTTCTCCAATAATTTTATTTGTCTCTCATAGCTGATTTTTGGCAGAGGATTTGATGATCATTTGGGCCAAATACATAAGACTTATTAAACATATATACAGAGAACTTTCTAGATGATTTGATATCTTTCTGAGAGGGATTTTTTCCTCTCATTTTTAAAAGTCTTTCCTTTTCACTGAATTTATCACATACTACTATGAAAATATAAATTTTGTAATCAATGGTATTTCCTCCTCAAATTAAAATGAATATTCAAGTGGAGAAAGATATTGAAGTTTCATTGGCATTTGGAGCATAATTAACCCAAGATTTTATGAAAACAGGCATTCTGAACATAAACATCAATGACTGAGGTCACAGTTTTGAAAGTATTCCAGAAGGTTATCATATTAGATGGTGACAGCAAATGAATGACTTAAATGTTTGTAAGTTCACAAACCACTTCCTTCACAATTATGAGTTACTTCTTAATAAACACACTTTTGGGAGATTAAAGTTTACTATTGTAACTGTCATCTTGCTTGTTCAGATCCATTGTACATTCTTAGCTGGACTCCTAGTGTCCTGTTTTCTCTTCCCTACCTCCTATTTTTCCGTACCACAAGCCTTCCTGCTCTCTGCTTCCACATTCATTCTCTGCCTAGCTCAGATCCAGTGATTCTTCTGCCAGTCATCTTCAGTAGCTCCCCACTGTTTTCTAAATGTCATCTCCCTGTTATTCAAGGAAGTCCCCACCATGGATCCCCTATGTGCTTTTCTAGCCTCCTCTCCCTTGTGTTGCTAGGTACATCAGGTTTATGTCCCTGCAGTCCTGTTTCATTTTGTGTGCTCATAGTGGCCCCTTCACCAGAAATTCTTTCTCATCTCCCAGTCAGAAGCAGCCCTTCTTGGGTTTTGTGTTTCAGGCAGATTTCAGTTATCACTTTATGCACAAAGCTTTGCCCTGTCGCCCCAGGAGAATGAGTGCTTCTGCGTGTACC